TAAAAAGATGGAACAAAAATATGAAGCAACTTTCCCTAAGAAACCATAAACCTAAAACTGACGGTTTGGGCGCAAACATTTTTGTCTTCCTAAATACGGCTTTGGGACCATTTTGCATTGGTTTTGGTTCTACGATACTCCTTTTTGTGACGTCTTGATTGTCAAGTTTTTCAAACATCTATATCAACTGTTTTTTGCCTATTTGCAACAATTTTGAGGTTTTGGCCAACTTTTGTTCTAAGGGGAACCACTGTGCACTATGTCGTGTCCTGACCGTCACTCTAGATACATCGCTGCCTGTACTACTCTCATTCCCTACACACTGGTCTAGTCCACATGTCATTCTGGTGAGGGTTAAGTGAAATTACTTAAGTTTTTCTTGATTTTATGGTATGAAAATTTTCTCGTCGTATTCGTAATTCAAAAATGGCGATGGAAGAAAAGCGCATTTGTCATTGTTGGACGAGTTGGAATTTCCAGGCTTCTTCATGTTTTCAAGCGTATGTTTTATAATTTTTATAAATTAACACTCAATTATAAATTAACAAGTGACTTTAGTGACTTTTTGATGAAAAAAGTGACTTTTTAGTGACCGACTTGAAAATAGTGACCAAGTCACTAACAAGTGACCTGCTACCAGCCCTGCGATCGGTATCCGACACCGAACATCATCGATATCCTAGATAAACTAGGAAAATGGTCGAGCTGCTTTTAGTGTCGAAAATGGGCACTACGAGTTTTTAAGGATGCCTTTTGGGGTTAAAAAACGCGCCATCAACATTCCAACGCGTGATGGATAACGTTCTTCGAGGCCATATACACACCAAAAAATTCTGAATTTTAATTATGATGTAAACATTCATTCACGTTAGCTTGTATTTCACTTCACGCAAACGAGCAACTTGGAAGCAATATGTTTTTCAAATACAGGCGCTTGTATACAATATTTGCAACATTTCATGAAATGTCTCGAAACTTTACACGATTTATATTGTAAACTTATATGATATGTGACGCTTCTTTTATGTGCATCATATTCAACAGAAATTTACACTACTTTTTCGAACTGTGTAGGTGTTATCTGTCTGGTATATATGGATGACATCATTGTATTCTTCACTAGCCTGATATGTAATGGGGACCGAGACAACTATAAAACAACATTCATAAAACCCTGGTCAAGGCTATTTTGTCATTGATGCATCCACCAAAACCTCATTAAGACTAGAATATGTCTAGTTGGCCCACCCTGGAGAAGGTTCTGAAGGGGGTATTCTCGAAGCTCTTCAAGATTGATTTACTGCAAAAGGTTGTAAAGGTTGTACCCTCGTAAAACGTCGATTTGACTAATTATTTAACATTGAAATAAAAAATATATTGTTCAGATCGAGCTTGGCCGAGATTTTTTTTTTTTATTATTTTCGCATTTAAATTTTTACTCATTGCTAAATTTACCAAAAAATAGCTATATCTAAGGAAATATAGATTGAAAATCGAAGATTGTAAAAAACAAGCAAACTAATTGTAACAGGCATAAAAGTTGATTTTCATGGGTCATTTGTGAAAAAGTTGTTTTGCTTTCAAGAATTCCTTAACAAATTAATAAGGTTTTAAAATGGCTTTAATGAAGAAAACTTACAGGCTGCATTGTATTTATCTAAAGCCATTTTGCTTGATCCTGACCCGTTCAGATTTATGGCAGCATTTATGGAGGCAAAGTTGCCTGCAAAAAGTTAAACGTCAAAGTTTGTTTATTTTTCGATAGTTGCGCTGTGGGATCCTGTGTTCTTCCAGGTGGTTTTCTCCCGATAGATTGGGAGATTGGTTACTCAGACAGTTTGCGATAATGTTTTACAATATTTCGCATTTCGAACAGCTGAGAGCGCAATAGTTCCCGAAAAAGATCCCCTTCTTCCGGATGGTTACAGAAGTGCACCATCCAACGATGCAGGGATGTACACTTGAATGAAAGTTTCGAAGAGTTGATTCTTTCATCGAAAAAAAATGGCTGCTATGGATCGGAAACCAGCTCATCTCCGCCAACTAACTGTTTCAGTGGTTTGCTGTCCGTTGTAATCTTTTCGCAAGATCTGGAGAAGGCTGATATATTTTTTAAACTTTTGACAATGTTTTATGAATTCGAGGGCCCCGCTCACTTTACTCTTCTCCACCAGATGGTCAGTCGTTGATAGTGTGCTGGTTCTTCTAAAGAAGTAAATTTTGCTGAAATCAACTTGAATTTTCCATCCTGCTTCGTCTATCCTTCGAGATTTCCTTGTCATAAATTTGGCATTTATTAGCTATGAGGAACCATCTTTTAAGCTCAATTTGTAAACAGAGTAATTGGGGAGGTAATGAGGCACTTTAAAAACCCTAAAAAGCAACAATAAATGCTTTTTGCTCTAATGCAAAACCTAATGGTTTATGGTTGCTTTTATAATGATAGAACACGTTTATAAACTATTTCATCAAGACATTAATAAACAATTGGTAATGACGTTTATGCTTGAATTACAGAACAGTTTTAAGGAGGGATTGATAACTGTTTTAAATTTATGTTTAAAACAAGACAGTTTTTGACTTCCTTGTCTGACTATAAAAGGTTTTTAAAACAGCAAAAAGCTGAATTACAAAGCAGGAATGTTTTACTCTTAGAAATACTATATTTAAACTAAATGGGTTGTTCATTACCGTTATAAAACAATCATATATCAGGATGGATGCTTAATCGTTACTGCATTGTTACTTGAGACGTCACTTATGATATGATAAATAATGGATTCCAAACTGTGCTTATTGAATAAGCTATGTTTGTATAACTTGTACCATCTTTTATTCAACGCTAAGCCAAATTTAAGCATTGTATACCATGCTCGAAACAGATTTCTAGAGTTGCACAGAAGCATGGTATTTTATGCATAACGTATTTATTTATTTAACCTAACGTCCATTTTGCCTAACGTATATTATGCCTAACGTCCATTATGCCTAATGACTTTATGCCTAACGTCCGTATGCCTAACGTATTTCTGCCAAATGGGGTACACTCTTAATTGACAGTTTATCAAAAAAATTCAAAACGTTAGAAAAACAAAACCTCAAGGTGCACTTGGATAAGTGCAAGTTCTTACAAAAAGAAATTGCCTTCTTTGGCCATATTGTCACGCCGGAAGGAGTTAAACCAAATCCGGATAAAATCAAAATCATGCAAGAGTGGCCATTACCCTCGAATGAAAGAGAATTACGTGGTTTTCTCGGAATGTTGTGATATTTTACACAGCAAAATATAAATTTCAATATTGCATCCAAGAGGATGCACTTCAATCATGTCGAAAATCTCATGTAATTTTTATGGCCACACAATAAAACAAATGCAGTAAAAGCAACGTAATGTCAGCACATGCACTGTATTAACGATAATTTTGCCCTTTTTGGCAAGTAATATTACACCATATTTTCGACACGATTGAAGTGCATCCACTTTGAAGTGATATTAAAATTAATTTTTTGCTGTGTAGAAAATTTATTAGAGACTTTTCGAAAATTGCAAAGCCTCTTACAAATACTCTAAGAAAAGGTGAAAGCATTTCCCACTCAAAAGAGTTTGTTAACGCTTTCGAACATTGCAAATCAATTTTATCAGGAAGTAATATCTTACAATACCCTGATTTCACTAAACAATTCATTCTAACTACTAATGCCAGCAACTTTGCAATAGGCACTGTGCTCTCTCAAGGGACTGTCAGAAGCGGTAAACCAATAGCCTTCATTTCTCGCACACTCAACAAGTCCGAAAAAAAAAACATTCAACTATAGAGAAAGAAATGTTGGATGTAGTATGGGCTTGTAAGTATTTCCGTCCTACCTATACGGACATATAGTCTTAATTTGAAAGATACCAATAATCGGCTTGTCTAATTCGACTACGAAATTCGATACCGACCGAGTAAGCAGAATATAGTCGCTGACAGCCTCTCCAAAGTCCGATATGAGCTCAATAAACACGAAAACTCATCATCTGATGACATGACCGTTCATTCGGCTGACAAAGATGATTCTGAGTTTATTAAGTGTACTGAACAGCCTCTCAACGCATTCAGTAACCAAATCAAATAATCCCTAAATTTGGATCCGATGCACCAGATCACTATGAGGATTTTTTTCCAAGAGTATACCTAAGAACAATTACGAGACTATCAATATTTGTAACTACATGGTTCTCCTAGTTACCGTTACGCGCGGAATATTGTTTTATGTCGTTTGCGTTTTTGCGGTGTAGCTACACCGGTACTACACCACCGAACACCGATAAATTTCAGGGTGTAGCTATCGGTAGCACCTTTGATTACAAACAAATGATGATGAGGTGTAGTGTAGCAAAAACGAAAACGACATTAGTTTGGATTTAGATATTGTGTTTCGCTCTACTGAGTGTCAATCCGCAACGTTGAATGAATGTTGACATGAATTAAACTGAAGCCATACAGTCATTCATGTTTATCTGCTATTTTCGTGATACCAGGAAACGTCCAAAAATAAATTGAATTCGAATCTAAGCAAAGCCTTTCTCCGAAACCATTACCAAATGAACGCCAAGCATCATTAGTTCATCAAAATTGAAAAAAAAAATACTCGGTTGTCAGCTTATTGCTCGAAGCCTTCTGAAAATTTGTCAGCAATTCAACGTAACATGGAACGAGCTAACAGGACAAGACATCACTCCATTCACCAAATGCCTAGCTAAGCTTATAAAAAATGGTTAACTCTACCGGGAACAACATTTCGTAATCATGGCAATCCTTCAATTTATTCCGACAAACTGTGTACGCTCCGTTCCAACAACTCATTCCCCGGAAATAAAACAAAACACCCCGAATGATTATTGCGAGGAGCCTCATCCCACCACTTTTCCTGCTGCAAAGGTTAACGGAATAAAACACAAATCAAAACTACCAACAACCAATAACAACGACATGATAGAAACACTAATAAAAACCCACCAGCCTTTATGCTTCTTCAGGACATCCGGAAACATGCACACAGCACCGGGTGATTGTGCCTTTTCTTGATTCCCGTTCGGCGCTTCCTTCCCGCACACTCACACACCGTAACAAAAAAACACCCACCACGGTTTCACGCCTTTCTCACCCCGCGCGTGGATCGCTCACTTTCTCGGTTCTTGTCTAAAACTAAAACACACACTATATTTTCCTTTTTATTGCAGCATAATCCGCATCAAGAGCAACGACGACTGACGTCTTCGCCGGAGCGTCGGAAGAAGCGCGCCTCGACGTCGTGTGTTTTGATTCTTCGCCGTCTTCTTGTTCTTCACACATTCACTCACTTCCTGCTGCTGCATCAACTTGGCAAGATTTTCATCCGCTCAGAAACTATTATTCTTGCTGGGTCTTCCCCGTCACAACGACGTCACTTCACTTGAATATGGGATTTTCTTCTTTGAATCCTGCTTCACTACGTAAACCGCACACACATTGCTCATATAATCACATCCTGCCGATGCTGTTGTGGTGGCTGCTGCGCTACTCTTTATCGCAAGCCTCCGGCCGTGGAAAATCTCCGCAAAATTTCATCACATCTCCAGCGCTCGTGTGGGGGCAAAAACACATAAATTCAAGGTCCTTGTGGAAGGCCTTCCCGTTGCGGCATCGACCGACGAAAATCCCACATCAACACATCACTCTCTCAGGTCGTCGAATATCATCGCCTTCCTTCCATATCCGGCAGAAAGCAGACTCGGTACAAATTTTCACATTTGTTTTCCTGCGGAAAAATCGGCACCGCAATAGAAAATTTTCCTCCCACACGCAAATTTGCCTGCCAGCAACGAGAGCACGATGATTTGGTCCTACTTCTACTTGCTTTGGTGTGTAACGCCAGAACCAACGAACGGACGCAGCAAAAAAACGACCGAAACCGAACGCGAACGGTGGCAAACTAAAGTCCTGCGGCAATCGCAAGGACTCTCATCCTCGCTCGAGTCGACATAGGGAAATGTGGACACCATGGGAAAAGGAGATTTTCCCCGTGATGAGTGAGTGAGAGAGTGGAGAATCAGCTGAGAGCTGGTGAGAATCGTGGGAGAGTGAGCTGAGTGTTTTGGCTGCTGAAGGCAATTTTTTTTTTTCTCAACTGGGGGATGGGAATGGGAATCTGCAGCAGAAGGTAGACTCCGTGACGTGATGGATGCAGTCGTAGGTACACAAATGAGTGCCAAGTAGGATGAGGTGGGAGGACGACGCTGAAGGTGGTGGAATGTTTTGCTAACCCTTGGCAGTGAATGGAAACAGGGAAAAATTGAGCTGGAATGAGACGGTGGATTGGATTGCGGAGCATACCGTTACATATTGATCTTGCTGCCTGGAATGAGGTACCGCTGGAGTTTTCCGTGTGTGGCAGCTGGCTTTTGGGTGTCATGAGGAAATTAAATATATATATATATTTAATTATTTTAAAATGAGTGAGTGTGTTTTTATATAGTAAGGATAAAAGCGTCATAGGCCAGGACTGTGAGTGTATTCCCTCCCTCCTGGCACAGTATGCGGCTCTAAACCACTATAAAAAACCAAACTCATATCTACCCAGACGACCAGAAGTCGTATAACAATGTACTGACAGTACCTTAAATAGCAACAGTTTAAGTCAACATCGCATATAAAAAATGACAAACATCGCATTATGTTTCAGTTAAATCGTATAGAATGTAAATCTCCGACTTACAGTGGTGGCCTCTAAATTAGCACAATAGGCCGATTTTCATACAAACTAGTGTAATATCAAATTATTGCAAGCGCTTGCCGGAAATTGATAGGCTGGTTGAAACTGGCTTACTAATTAAGCACATTTATGATTCGAAATTTCCGAAGTGTTATAGTTTTAAAATGTTCAATCATATTGCCAATAAACGACGGCGAGCTTAAGACAGTTATTTACGATATGGTCAAAAATTTCCGAAATAATAGACTTCGGAAATTTCGAATTATAAATGTGCTAATTAGTTGGCCATTTTCAACCAGCCCGTCAATTTCTGGCAAGCGTTTCCAATAATTTGATATAACGTACACGCAAAATTCAGCATATTTGTAGTTCTGTGTCAAAATTTCAGCTCAATTGATCATAACGTTAGTTTGTATGAAAATCGGCCTATTGTGCTAATTTAAAGGCCACCACTGTATATGCGAGGAATCATTTTTCCATCGTACTGTATCATAAATTAAGTTGGATTACATCGTAAGACTTTTCAAATTGAATATGTTATTACGCGTATATGATGTAAAATCAACTTCTTTAAAAATCAATTGCTCGTATGGTCTTCCACTTTTGTGCGTATATGCAATTTATTTTGGCATGCTATACGATTTGTTTGATTGTATATCACAGAAACAACTATGAATGTACGTGCATTCTGGTTGGCTTGGTAGCCTGAATCCCTCTGGAACCACTCTAAGGGATTACATGAATCCCCCTGTTTTTTTCTAATGTATTTAGGGTCAACCATAAACTTCTCACCTACGAAAAATCAGCTAAATTTGTTGGAAAACAGCCGAGAAATTGCGGTGGAAGGACGGACAAGCATTTTTGATATTGTAAAGTTGAATATAGGGGAAATGGCTCTCATGTTGGCCTATGGATCCAAGATGGGGCCCATCGCTAAAAATCTGCTATTTATCAAAATAAGATAAACGCGTCATTGGTACGGTACTAATGGATATTTTGGTCGCTATTGAAAATTTAGTCGATTGCTGAATTTAAGTATAGGCCCAAATTAATTCATCTCTCCTATGTAAATTTTGTCAACCAATTTCAAATTATGTTTGTTGTTCATTAATTTATTTGATAAGACTCAATTGTGACAAGTCACTCCGTTCGTTCACTCAGTCCATAGTTTTCTTACCACAAATGGGGATTTGTTTATGTGTATAGAGGAAAAATCATAAATAAAATCTTAACTAGCTAGATAGGGACTTAATTCAAACTAAAATAGTAAATACAAAAGCTATATAAATAATAAAATTCATGCTAATAAATAAATTAAACTAGGTATCATGCAAAATTAATCTAGGAGGCAATAGACGGCTAACGACTTAATTAAAAAGTTGGAAGGGTTGTATACTAGATACGACCGCAGGGTTGGCGTTGGATAACGTCTGTTATGTGTTGTACTTAATTGTGTATATTATATTTTAGGAATATTCCTTGTTTTTCGTGCTGAGCACCAATGCTACCCACACCCATGCTTGGCATACACAGTTTTGTCACGAACTGCTCATTTGCTAATAATTTTGCACACAGTTGACGGAACATAGTTCTTTTCGGAGCAGTAGATAGAATAGAGTGTAAGCTTGTTATAGATATGTAAAATAAAGTAGATTTTAATGCTAGTAGTAAACTGTATTTGTTTTTGCGTTGTAAAAATGAGGTGAGAAATGCTTACTACACATCTCGGAATTTAAGTGTTAAATTGATTAGTGTTGATTCAAATGTTAAGCTTTACCTAATCTTCGCATATTTATAGTAAACTATGAGCCCAATTTATCAATTACTTTAAAGAAAAATAAATTTCAACATCTGAGTGAAGTTATCCAAGTTATCAAAGTTATTACCAAATTAGCAGTTGGTGTGTACAACTGTGCATGCCCACACCTGGACCCTACCTATCACCCATCAACTCATGAACCGGGAACACCGAAGGAAGGCGTGATCAGAGATGTTATGCCTCAGAACTTCCCGGCAGCGTTGACTGTGATTGAACCCAGACCTGCTGGGACGCTTACCACTACACCACGGGCGCCGCTGCTCTCTAGAGTTGTAATCTTGTAACCAAACTTGGAAGCAGGGGATATTCTACTCAAATTCTATTCTAACTCTTTTCTGAAATGAACTTGATGGCCCTGAAAAGGGCCGTTTTGTTACATTGGTGATAATTTTTAACATCCGAAACCGTACAGAATGCGTCCCTGTCGCTTCAGAGCGTAGATGACATCCATGGCCGTGACGGTTTTGCGCTTGGCGTGTTCAGTGTAGGTGACGGCATCACGCATATTTTCTAGGAATACCTTCAGCACATCTCGGGTTTCCTCGAAGATCAGACCGGAGGCGCTTGACATAACCACGTCGAGCCAGACGCCGAAAAGTTATTCCTATTTCCAATTAAACACATATAACCTCAAGTGATAGCAATGTTTAACATATTTAGCAGGGTTTTAATCATACAAATGCAAATCGCTAGCTTTCATGCTAAAAAATACTGGTGTTTGAATCAAAAGTTATTATACGTCGTTTGATGGCCCCTATTGTTACTTAAGTCAAAGTGTATTTACCAGGATATTCGGAAGAATTATCAATTACGTCTCCTTACGTGCAGCCCTCATCATTTTAGGACCACCGAAATCATCTTAGCAACAAACAGTTCGATTTATTCACTTTAATAATGAGAAAGCGAAACGACGAACAAACACTTTTCACGGGTTTCTCAGCGCTGTTACTTAAGGCAAACGGCATCTCCATAGAAATCGGGTGACTTAAGTAACATCGAAAACTATTTTGATCGGAAGGTGATTACGTCAAAAAGCAATTTGACTAGTAAATAAATTTAAAAATGGGATGTGATCCTATATTCGGACAGTATATAGTGTAATAGCAGGAGCATCGATTGACACTGATAGCTCGACTTGGTTTACCTTTACTTTCGACGTAATGAAAATTTGCTCTGGAGTTGTGATCATTCACGGAGGAGCAACTACGAAGTGCACGGTCAGATAACGATAACTCGACGGCAAACAAATTCATTGATACGTTTGTTGTTGTGGATGATAGAAAGGCATAGCAGAAATAGTGCGAAATAGGAAACCATGGTCATCACAAAAGAGGAAATCGAAAAAGAGAATTGGCTTTCACCCTTCTGCTTCTAAGCCCCTTACAGTCATCGTCATAGCATCGCACCGCTTTTGGTTCTAGGGCACTTGCTGGTTGCAATTTTTCGATCAGGATTCACTGTGATGCGATCAGTTGTAAGCAGCAGAAATTTCCTTCCCAACTCTCTTGTGGAATCTTTTAGTGGCTCTGAAAAGGGCCGGTTTTGATAGATTTCGACGGAAAAATTAAGAACGATCACGACAAATACGAAGAGCCAGCTGAACGTCCTTTGAAAATGGGCCAAATTTGCGTGACATAATTAATGGACCATCCCTAAGACCACCTACTCCTATGTCACCTTTCCGTACAATCCCATAGGGCTGTCCCTTGTAGTTGGAGGGTGGTGTATAAGGGAGTCTGAACCGTAAAAAATTTCGTAGTCCTACGTCAACAATGCGGTTGTGTCTTGTACACCACCCTCCAACTACAAGGGACAGCCCTATGGGGTTGTACGCAATGGTGACGTAGGACTACGTGGTCTTATATAATAAATGGTAATGTGTATCTTTATTCAGCCAGGTATTAATCTGAACCATATTTTAATTATTTTCCTTACCTCATTTTTATATTTTCATTTTCTGTTCTAATCACTATCGAACAGATTTGTCTGGAATCTGATGAAATATTGCTTGGAGCCAATGCCCATGATTGTGCTGGGTACTCCCTTGTACACCACCCTAGAAAATTAATCGTTAAACTCTTTCTTGATAATGTTGTGGCCCTGAAAAGGGCCATTTTTCCAACGCGCTCGGCGTAGTTGCCCTTGCGGAGCAGACGGTGAATAAGACCGACTGAGAACTGCAGCAGCTAGGCATTCCATGACGGCGGCCCAGTATATCGGAGCACTGGCACCAACGCACTCGGCGTAGTTGCCCTTTCGCCCCCAGGCTCTGCTGCCGCTGCTCTGCTGCCGCTGCTGCTGGGTCGACGATCGGATAGACAATGATGGAACGGGCGACCTTGTTGGACGCTTATATAGTAGAACAG